TTTTTTTTTTTTTTTTTTTTTTAACGTTTATTTGTTTTTGAGAGAGAGACAGAGTGCGAGCAGGGGAGGAACAGAGAGAGAGGGAGACACAGAATCTGAAACAAGCTCCAGCATAAAGCCCTAATGCAGGCCTCAAACTCACCAACTGCAGAGATCGCGACCTGAGCCGAAGTCGGACGTTTAACTGACTGAGCCACCCAGGCGCCATCCCCACTTTTTTAAGTTTTTATTTAAATTGCAGGTGGTTAACATACAGTGTAATACTAGTTTCAGGTGTGCAATATGGTGATTCAACACTTATATACAACACCCTGTGCTCCTCACAGTAAGTGCACTCCTTAAGCCCCATCACCTGTTTCACCCATCCCCCCACCCACTTCCCTTCTGGTGAGCCTCAGTTTGGAAGCAAATTCTTTTACATAACAAGGGTTGCTTGTTTTGTTGGATTATTTTTTGAAGTGAATTGATGAGTGCTATTGATTTGTGAAGACTACGAAATGTAAATGAAATTATTTTCTAAACATTCTCTTTAATGTTTTCCAAATAGCTGAACCCAATATGAAAATCAGGGGTTATATTTTTAAGAAAAAGTTTTTATGACATATGTTTATGTTTTTATTTTTTTTTTTAAGTTTATTTATTTTGAGAGAGAGGGAGAGTATATGAATCCCAAGTAGCCTCTGAAATGCCAGCACAGAGCCTGACGTGGGACTCAATCTCATGAAGTGAGATCTTGACTTGAGCTGAAATGAAAAATCAGATGCTTAACTGAGCCACCCAGGACCCCTACCTAGCATAATATTTTCAAGTTCATCCATATATAATAATGAATCAAAATTTCATTCCTTTCTAAGACTTAGTAATGTTCCATTGTATGGATATACCACATTTTTTTATCTGTTCATCTTTTGATGGGCATTTTGGTTTATCTTTTAGCTATTGTGAATAATGCTACTATGTACATTGGTATACATATCTTTTTGAGTCCCTGCTTTCATTTTTTTGGGGTATATGTCTGGAAGTGGAATTTTTATATCATATGGTAATTCTTTTTTAACTTGAAAAAAATTTTTTAATGTTTATTTATATTTGAGAGAGAGAGAGACAGAGCCCAAGCAGGGGAGGGGCAGAGAGAGATGGACACAGAATCTGAAGCAGAATCCAGGCTCTGAGCTGTTAGCACTGAGCCTGACATGGGGCTCAAACCCATGAGCCATGAGATCATGACCTGAGTTGAAGTTGGACACTTAAGGAACCAAGCCACCCAGGCGCCCCTGTTTTAACTTTGTAAAGAACTGCCAAAGAGCTTTCTACAGCAGTGATACCATTTTTCATCCCCACTAG